AGCCCGAAGCGGAGCGGCTAGCGTTGGTGCGGTTCTGCGCAGAGCGAAGCTTGCGGGTTTGTTCATCCTCGGGAAGCGAAGACGACATGTTGGGGGGAGTATGAGTAGTGTCTTTCTTTCGTCGGAATGGCAAGTATGCTGGGTTGCTTGTCATGCGCGGGTAAGGGATTGACCATATCCTGCGGTGGGTATTTAACCGCAGGACGGAGAACGATCGGGCGGCTCCTGACTCGAAACGTCGGAGACGGAGTCAGGAGCGTCCAATATGAAATAAGGGTCCGCGCGTCGGTCGCTCGCAGCGATAGGTAGACGGATGTCTTCCTGTCGAAGCGCGGATTGAGCTAAAGAAAGGAAAGGCTCGGAGGATGATTTCCTCGTCCAATCGGCGGTTTGAGTCGTCTGCAGGTCGGGCGAGGAGGGAAGGGGTGTATGAAACCTTCCGAAAGTCGCGCTCCACCATTTCAAAATGAAAGGAGGAGTGCCCGGCAGTGATCGAACCGTTGTCGCCACGGGCGGCGAGCCTCACCTCAAGCGAGGGAGGCTGCGCGCGGGGACGGAGTCTAGCGCAGCTAGATCTCTACGTCGCCCGCGGCCAGCGCTCAAGGGAGCGCGCCCGGGGTTAGGAAGAGACGAGAGGTCTCAGACCTTCGTACTCGTTTTGATGAAGCACCCCTGTGCGTCCACCACTGTGAAGCGGATGGCTTCCGGCGGGGGCTTCTCGCGAGACGAAGGTCGAGCGGGACGCGCTGCGAGCGCATCCTCGCGACGCTAACAAGTGTCGCACCAGAAAGGCGAGATCACACCGCGGTGGATCTCGAGCCTGTGACCCTGAGCTGAGGGACCGTGTTACCCGCGGTCGGGCTACCTGTGACCTGGAGAGGTGAGCAGATAAGGATGCTCAGCCGGCGAGGTGGTCTCGGGTAGTCGCACGCACGACGCTGGCGTGAGCTCAGGTCATGGCAAGATGCAAGTTATAAAAGATGAATTACATAAGTAAACAATATGTACAAATAGCTATTAATGAGTGCCGATCGCACTTAGAGATGTATCTACAGTAATTATACATAGGTATCACATCAGACATTGTCGGTTCGTTGGACTGTAACATATCATATTAATGTTCGAGCTGACTCGGACGCCGTTGCAGGCTGGGCGACCGACCAAAAGACCGTGACCTACATCTGGGACATCAAAGACCTCTCGCAGCCCGTTCTCACAGGTCGGTACAAGTCGCCCATCGTCGCCGTCGACCACAATCTCTATGTGCATGTATGTTCATTCAGTCGTTGTTTAATGTACCATCTCTCACTGACCCGCAGAACAGCCTGGTCTACGAGAGCAACTACAAGAGCGGGCTGCGCATCGTCGAGGTCTCCAGCGTTGCTGACGACCCAACCGGTGCCGACTTCTTTGAGGCTGCATTCTTCGACGGTGCGCCTTTCCTTCTATCACCTTCACCCTTGCTCATACAATTTGCCTAGCTCACCCCGAGGACGACGCCGTCAGCGGCGAGCCTTCATTCGGCGGAGTTTGGTCGACGTACCCCCACTTCGAGAGTGGGTATATCCTCGTGAACACGCTGGAGCGGGGTTTATTCGTTGGTATGCACTGCTCATTCCCCCATTTACCGTGCGCTAACCCATTTGTATAGTCAAGTATAATGAGACGGCTTGAAAACACGAGACGAGCGGTTCCACACGAGTCTGTAGTAGATGAGTAGAGCTGCGATCGTTTCGGAAAGTTTGATCGGTAGGTGGCGTTGCCATTTTCGGAGCCAAATCAAACGATAAGCAGGCAGAAGGCGGCACAGCTCAAAGCAGACCATGGAAAGGTATAGTCCTGAGTACAAAGTGCTGTCACTTGTCTAGGAACAGATTGAAATATTTCGGATGTATTCCCCTGAAATATTCTTCAATGTGTTGAAGTTGAACCTCAAAAGTCGAACCAGGAGAGGGACCTCATCATGTGTCGCAGCAGCTATGATCTGCGTGTTACTGGCAACTCCTGGGGCAAAATAATGCTGTTACTCTGTCATGGAAGATTTCAATATTCGGGACACTTTCTGAGCGTTGATCTCGCTCTTTCTTCAGATTGTCGTTTTCTGTTTTATTTCCACCCGAGTCAGCCGCTTTGAAGAAGAATGAAAAATAACCCATTGTGAATAGAAGGGCCTATATCTGCGCCCAATTTCTTCACTGCCTGGCTTACTGGGAAGTACTGGGTCAAAGCATGTTTTTCGTGTATCACTCAGAACAACAAGCATTTCTATAGTTTTTTTTTGGCCATCATTCAAAACAAAACCGTAACCGGTACGCAGCCGCACACAGACGCGAGCCTTGGATTTGCGCGGGCCGAGATTGGAGACCTGGACTTGAGAGCGCGGGGATTCGAAATGTGGAGTCGCGCACGCGGGATTCGATATGCGTGAACGGGATTTGAGGGCCCTGGACTTGGATACTTGGATATAGGGATGGGAATGGAGAGACAGTGGATACGACGACCGCACCAGCGACAAGGGCGCAGGGGGATGGGATAGGACGGGCAAGGGTGCGCGGAGGGGTGGCGGCGGTGGGTGGGAGTGCGCAGGGTTGAGTGGATGGAAGGCGGGCGGGAGGCGCGGGACACAAACGGGTGGTGAGCGCTGATTCACGGAAGGTGATGGGATGCGCGGCGGGGTGCGATGGTGGCGACGGCGCACATAGACACGGACACGGACCGAGGTGGGGACAGAGGGCGAAGAGAGCGGACGGACGGAGGGGAGGAGAGAGAGGGAAGGAGGAGAAGGGGCGTGTGCGGTAAGAGGAGGAAGAGAGGCCGAGGTCGAGGCCGAGGAAGGACAGGAAGGCGAGGGGAGTCGGACGCGGACGGATGACGAAGAAGGGCGGGGGGAAGTGAAGCGACGGGGTGTGAAGGTGAGCGCACCAGGATGATTAATATGCGGAGAGGCGGGGAAGGGGATGCTGCGAGGGGAGGAGGGACGGGCCGTGGATACGAGAAGGGGACGTGGCCATGGATAGTAAAGCAACATCATACTGGGCCATAATTCATATTAGTAGGTTTTCATTATTATTTGCATTTTATTCGTCTGCCACGGCCGTCAATTACCCCAAATGACCCGAATTCTGTGGTCCACAGCTCTGGATTTTTTTCAGAAATAGGATGTATCAATGGACCGAAACATACACACAGATGTGTGTGTACACTTCTTATGAGGCCAACCATAGCTTATTTCAACCTAACCAGCCCCCTGTGCTTCGCGCAGCAAGCAATTAATGAACCCTTTGATCTCGCCTGCTTCCCTTCCCTTCCGAAGACAATTATGTATGGCCCTCATGTAGGTTATATTGAAGGTTTAACGGAATGGAATATTAGATTTAGACCTCCTACACACATTCAGACTCACTCGAGTCAATATCTCGTATTGAATTTTATCTTTGGGTAGGTGGTCAACTACCCCGGGTTTCACCTGTTTTGGCATCCCGCCAAAGAAAATTCAGACAACGAACAGGTCCCGGTTTAAATTCGGCCAACTTGGTTTATCTTACTCATAGGATGTATGCCTTCGTCTTAGACCCTGCCGGGCGGTGTCAAATGAATCACAGGCATTGCCTATTGAGTTAAAACCCTTAGGTGGTCAACTAAGTACCCAGTCTCCAACAGTAATCTCCTCTGGAGGAGATTATGCACCATTCAAGGATTATGAATCTCCCACGCTCAAACAAATCCATAATCCTTCCATAATCGTGGCCCATAATCCGTGCTTGATCGTCAACTCTGACTGCCCCTATTGTACGCCCTCCGGTGACTTAAAAATGTGGCGAATTTCCTTATATGGAGCGTGGAAATGCTTACGTTAGTCAGTAGGTCCCCGTGGCCTTGAAAAAAAGAAATCGGCCCTAAGTATATCTTTTTTTGAATGCCGGTTCCCCCTTGGTTTGTCGTTAGACAGACCGGTCGATCTGAGTTTAAATTCGGATGACGCGCGAGCAGTCACGTGTTGATCACTTCATCAACGACACACACTCAACGTCCCGTCGCACGACAGCCGAATTAAAATACAGAGAGTATCCGGAGTCGTTGTAAATATCTTCCCTGTACTCTTTGTGGTTCAAGGAAGAATTCGGGATCACTTCTCATACTTTAACCATCAATTTGCTGTTTAGAAGAAACTGCATGAATTTGGCCAGAAGATAAGGTAAATCGATTTGTAACGGGCTAGCCGGACTCAATGGCATCATATATACTCATTCGAATTTTCTAGTGAATTTGTGGGCCCGGGAAAGGCTGCCGCTCAGGAGTTCGTGTAAAACACGTGGCTAAAACGTGATCTCGTCGCGCGTCATCTGAATTTGAACCAGATCGACCGGTCTCTCTATGATTCTGAACGATTTGTCTTCATACGAAAGCTCGGTTACCGGTCTACGCGACCCGGGTCTGCGCGCCGATGCCGGTGTCGGTAAGACACGTCGGAGAAGACTGTCAGTGAGGAGGGCTCGAAGGACGCAGATCCGGAGAGGGTGGGCCGTTTGGGCGAGGGGCCGCGCGAGCGAGGTATCGACAGCATCGAGAGTAGGCGGTGGTGAGACGGTGAAGATGGGAGCGGGTGATGTCATTGATACGGGATGGTGACTCGCCGACACACGATGCCGACTTGCTCGACGACTGCGACGGCAGTGAACTCGACGCCATCGTGGATTCAATGGTGAACTCCCAGGCCTCAACAGCTGGGCTCGGCACACGCCAGCCTTTACATACCCGCCAGATTTGCTTCCGGACCCACCCGCGCCGCGCCGGAATACGGGAAGGTTCAACCTCGGAGCTAATACAACACAACACGCGGGCTCTCATTAATATCATGTGCTTTGACGTTATGTGGTTTTTGAGGTTATGTATATTTTGGAGGCAGTTCGGGTTAGAATCCCTGCGTCTGAATAGACCTTGTGTGTTTTTTTTCTTCTTACATTCCCTAATAAAGCTAGTCGCGTGGATGGGAAAGGAACTCAGATATGGTGTAGCGAGAACACGGCTCCTTACCATGTTTCAACTGGTATTTCTGTTCCAGAGGCAATCCAGGGTTCGAATCCCTGTGTCTGTGTGTTCCATTTATCCAGGTTTTTTCTTTTCTTCTTACAGTATCCTCATTGAACGCTTGAATAAAACTACCTGAGTGTGAGGGAAAGTAATTCAGACATGGTGTATTGGGAACACAGCGTCTTCTCCCAGAGGCAGTCCAGGGTTCGACTCCTTGTGTCTGAATTCATGTGCATGATATATTTTTCTCTTTACATTTTTGCATTTCTTGGATCTCTCTTTGAACAACCTGATAAACCTACTGTGACCGAAGAGATAGAGAATCAGACATGGTGTAGTGGGAACACGGCCTCTTCTTATAATCCAATGTTCGACAATCAGAGGTCTTCCAGGGTTTGAATCCTTGTGTCTGAATGGGTAGTCCGAGTTATTTTTTATGTCATTTTTCATTCCTACTCATCGCACGCGGCGGTATTACCTCACCTCGAAGCAAGACAGCTCGGAACGAGAACTGCCGTGCAGTTGCGGTTGGTGTACATTCACCCCATATCCATTTTGTTCGAAAAAACTAATAACAGCCCGACATACTTGCACCTCGCGACGCCTCGCACCTCCATCCGCCCCCAGCTCGCCCGCACCTCTCTCTACCTACCTACTTCGCATCACCGCACAACGCCGACCCGACCCCGGACCCGCCCTACATCCCGGAATCACGAACGCTCGTGCGCGTAAGAGATGGACGACATGCGCGTGGGCATCGATTTGAGAACGGCTGGGACGTGCATTTGCGAGGGCGGGCGAAGTTGCGAGCGCGGGGGATGTGGATTTTTGAGCGCGGGGAGTCGAGCCTTAAATTTGCGATCGCGCGGACTCGGACCTGCACTTGCGAGTGCGTGAACGTGGACTTGGATGAGAGATTCGGATTTCCGAGCGCGGGGCATTTGCGAGATGCGGTGGATTTTCCGAGCGCGGGTAAGGGACTTCGGACTTGCACCTGCGCGCGCGGGGAGTCGAGCGAGCCTTGGATTCGAGACTCGAGATGCCCGTCGATTGTGAGCGGGTGGGTTCGTATTTGCGAGCGCAGGCATTTGGCCATTTTGCGAGGGCGGGGATTTGGGCGTGGACACATTTGAGCTGGCCTGGGACTTGGAGACGTGAGACGGGCCGTGATGCGCGTGGATTCGGAGTTGCGAGCACTGGGATTCGTGAGAGCGAGCACGGAGCATGCGGATTCGTGAAGCGGTGGATTCGGACGGCGAGCGCGTCTAGTTGGTGTAGTGGGAGCACGGCCTCTTGTAAGCCGGTATTGAACCGTCAGGGGCAGTTTGGGGTTCGATTCCCTGTGTCTGAATGTGCTGGAGTTCATGCCTTTTTTTCCTACATCCTCCCTTGAACACTCTAACAAAACTACCGAGGAAGTAGGAAGGAATTCAGCCAGCGTGTAATGGGAACACGACCACTGGCAATGTTCATCACGAATGTCTGTTCTAGAGGCAGTCCAGGGTTTAAATCCCTGTATCTGAATGATACTGTAGGTTGACTTTCCTTTTTATTTACATTCCTTCTTTGGACACCCTGATAAGGCTACCTGGATGAGCTGAAACACAACCTCTTCTCGTAAAATACCGGTGCATCAGTTCAATGTTCAGAGGTAGTCCAGGGTATGATTACATGTGTCTGAATTCATTTGTGCGATACATTTTTCTTTTTAAATTTTTGCATTCTTGCATTCCTCTTTGAACGACCTGATAAAACTACTTCGATAGAAAAGATAGGAACTTAGACATGGTGTACTGGAGACGCGGCCTCTTTTCATGAGGCAATCCAGTGTTCGAATCCTTGTATCGGAATAAATTTGTTGGATCTCTTTTTTTTTTGGTGGTCTCTCGCTGAAGTTTACTATGCACACGTTTGAGTGCACTCCTAAACGCAGGACTCGGTGGACCTGAAGTTAAATTTTAGTCTTGAACCAGTTCCCCGCGGAAGACTTTCAACGCGGCGAGCAGGGTTTAAGTTTTTTCTTCTATGCTCCCTGCTTGCGACTGCCCTCACTCAGAAGGGCCACCGCGACGCGAACAGCGCATACTTCATATGCAACACTTGCAATCGTAGCCATGCACCAGGAGTTTCCACTAATTTTCCTTCTTCGTCCTAACATTCACCTGCACAAAACGACCACTCCACAAATCAAATCTAAATCTGATCCATGGCTTTTATGACACCCCATTCCAATCCTCAAGCCGTCGAACTAACCCCATCCTTAACCGCAACCCAACTCGGTCGCGCGCTAATCTCCCGGAACCACCGCGCGACGTTCGGCCGCACCGTCATCACGTCGCTGTCCATGCGGTTTGTGATCAACTCGGCGTACGGGAGGTGGTAGAGATCCGCCAGCGTGATATGCTTGCTGATGAGTTCAACAGCGGAATAATTACACGAGGAAAGGGGCACGCACATCGCCCGCGAGGTACTTCGTCTTCCCGAGGATCTGTTCGTATGCATCCATCTTCGCCGCAAGCAGCGCCGTGAGCCGCGCCACCTCCGCGGGGTCTGTCGTCCCTCCCATGTGCCTGAATCACTTCCGTTTAGCCCTTGAGAACTAAAATGAGGAGAAGGACACACGGCTTGATGAGCACCTCATGAACCAGCTGCTCCGCTGCGAGGAACTGCGTCGCCTCGATCGCCATCGCCTGTTCGAAGATGCCCAGCTCCTCCATGCCCGCGTCCTCTCCAACGATGAGCCCCGGCGTCCCCTGCCCTGCGTACTTCCGCGCGATGTAGCGTCCCATCGCGCGCGACTCTGTGGCACTTCATCAACACCCTGCCGATTTAAAAGGGAGACAGAATGAGAATGCGCACCGAACAAAACCTACCCCGCGTCCTCGAGTACGGGTATCTGCCCAAAGGGCTGCATCTTGGCCTTGTACTCCGCGCTCTTTGCCCCGGCGAGCGCGGGGACGAGCGTGAAGGGGACTTGCTTCTCGAGGAGGATCAGGGCGACGCGCTTGGTACAGGTCGAGCGCGCATCCTGAGGGTAAGTAGATTGATTTAATGCAGGTGAGTTACAGGATGATGATGAGGAAGGGGAGGGTGGGATGGGATGGGATGGGTACGCACGCCGTGGAGTTTGAGGACCATTGAGTAGGAATAAAAATCCGAGGAGTGGGGAAGAAAGGCCTTGAGCTTTATGGGGTGTGAGGGAGGATAGGAAGAAGTGCGCGGGACCCACTGTGGACCCACATAGACGGCGACACGTATTGCGCCGTGATGGATCTGATGGCTCCGGTCAAACGAGCCGCTGAGATGTTTTGAATGTAACATGGCATTGAAATCAGGTCGTTGCGACTCGACTCGGAGGCGGGTGGATTTCTTGGAAGATCTTCAATTGTCTCCGAGTCGTTCTTCTATGAGTTCAATCGCCTCCGAGTAGTCCGAGCCTTCTTCGGATGGCAGGCTTCGATTCTTGTCTCAAATTCAGACGTTCGCAGTGCGGATCGTTCTAGAAGATCTCGATAAGTTGTGTGCCGACGGGATCGAACCGTGGGAAGCGTGACATGCCTGATGTGACAGTTACATGTTCAAGTTGAAGTGCGCCGCGTCGCCGCGAGTATCCGACAAGAGCACCCCTGGATTTTTCCTCACTTTCCCTCCGCTCCATCAAATTAGAATAGAAAAATTTCCCAGATTAAATTCATTGAATACGGAATGGAACATGAATCCGGTGCGTGGTTGAATAATGTGCAGACTCCTGGTGCTCAACATGGGAAATCAGCTTCATGAGTTCCCACCGCCTCGCCGTCGCGCACTCATTTTTTTTACTCTCCCAACCCATCACATCATGAAATTCGGCCCTGAGGGAACGTGAAAGGCGCGAACCGGCCGTCATCTCCCACCGGAACGCAATCGCCTCCCCTTGCTCGCCTCGCACAGGACTCGGTATCTGATATGGGCCAAGTAGTTATAATAAATTATCTGTAAAAATTATGTGTACGCCGCAGATTATGTACTGCAGATTGTGTCCATGAATGTCTTCCGGGCGTGGTTGAACATCGATCACGTGCATGGTTGAACTTGGCAAAATAATCAAGTCCAAACTTGAACATTGGGCTCTGACGCAAAGTGCTTGGTTTTCATAAAACTTGAGAGCTGAATTCTCCGGCCGCAAAAAAAAGCATCAATTCATTCGTGCACGCTGCTTCAGATACTAAACTGGAGCGTGAGGTTGATGAGGTATACCATAGCGCCAGTGCGGCCGTCCAAGAACGTCATCATGTTCGGCGTCACCGTGGTGTACTCCGGCCAGTTGGGACGGTCCTCCCGTTGGGGTCGAGATTCGTCGCGAAATTAATCGGGTAGTCTGTGATCTCGCCGTCGTAGTAGATATACATTTTGTTGAACGCGTGGAACGAGCAACTCCCATCGGGATTGGCGCAGGCGAGAGCGGCCGGTGAGCCCACAGATCCGAGGAAGGAAAAACCCGTGAGGTGCTTGCTCACTGCGCGGGTGCAGAGATGAGACACGCATTATGTGAATCGAACCGACGAAATTACAGAATCCCAACCGCCTTTGATCTCAGTGTTCTAGGAGAGGATGATGAGGACGGGAGAAGAGGAGGAGTTACCTGAACGGCCGAGATGTGCTTGAACTGATGAGAGAGCGCGTTCAATTCCCCCATGTCGAATGGCGAGCCTTTGGTGATATTGTTCGGGCCAGGCTCTCCACCTGGGCGTGCTGGCCTGCGGCAGCCAGATGGACGAAACGTATTGTTGTAATTATGTGTCCGTACTGAGTTGGGAGGACATTATATAGCGGACAGTCAGAAAAAGAAAACGACACGTTACGTTCAGGCTCGACAGCGAGAAAAACGTCGCAGTCGTCTATGGGTATGTCAATTATAGCACGGACGGGTATACTCGCAGAGAATTTGTCTTTGTACGAATATATGCTCCGTCTGATTCAACCCCGGCTCAATTAATGCTCTCCGGGTATTCCAAAAATCTTCTCGCGATACTGCACGGTCGAAATCGTGTCCGAAGCGAAACCACCAACCTTCGTCTCCATCAACTTTCCACATGAGACCGGAATGGACATCTAAATCTTGTCCGCTTCTGAATCTCGTCAAGCGAGAGGTCAATATTGCGACGACAGTTGCCGATAAGGTTTGTAGCGCTGGTGCTGTGATCTTGACCGCCCTGGCGTGAGTCAAAGATCCGTATTCAAAGCGACTCAACATATCCCAGCACGTGCGTATTTTCCTCTGATTCAAGTCGGCGTGAGTCCATAAGATGCACCGATATAGGATTGAGATGACTGGAGGTACGCATTTCAGATATCTACTTTCATTATGATGTTCATTTCAGTAACGCCCCCGGATGTCCGGATCGACGCTTTCTGAAGGCAAGGTCGCATCTGTC